CAGAAGAGGGCACCAGATCCCATTACAGATGGTTGTGAGCCACCATGTGGTTGCTGGGAATTGAACTCAGGACCTTTGGAAGAGCAGGCAATGCTCTTAACTCTGAGCCATCTCTCCAGCCCCAGTCCCCCTTTTCTTACCCTTATTAAAGCTGAATATTTTATAATAAAGCTAGTCTGGTTATTTCTATAGACCACCTGCCAACATTCTCTGTTTGAGCTGTGGACAGAGATCAAATCCAGCAATCCAACAATCTGAACAAGAGCCAGGGCAAAGGAAGAAGGGGTGCACATAGGCTCTGTGTCAGCATATATGGTTTAAGAGGCCACGCCCCAGTAGGCGGGTAACCATAAGCTGTAAGATTTCCTACAGCATTATCTGTCATTTCTCACATTTTGGGAGAAGTCACTTGCTTGTACTTCCTACTCATCTAATATTATTTCCTTCTGGGTCTCTGAGGTAGTTGAAGACTGGTTATGGTTACAGTTTTCTTTGTTGACAAGACTCAGAAAAGAAATTCCCTAAAGAAATGTAAAGTATATAAGGTTGAGAGATATCAGAAAATAGTTCAGGATGGTAATGCAAGTTGTGATAGAAAGTAAACTAGGTAGAAAACTTTGGACTCACCAAGATAGGATAGATAATGGAGTATTTTCTGTGAATTTGTCAAATACAAATGGACTAGACATTGCTGATGTAATTAACGCCTATATTGTATATAGTTACTGTACTTTGGTATATAGTTTTTCTTATATTAGTTATAGCATTCTTTTTTATTGTAGACAAAAAGGGTAAATATCACAATATTTAATTTGTTTTAATAAATAAAGCTTGCCTAAAAATCAGAGGGCAAAATAAGCCACTAGAGGTCAGGCAGTGGTGGCACACTCCTTTAATCCCAGTACTTGGGAGACAGAGGCAGATAGATCTCTGTGAGTTCAAGGACACCCTGGGATACACAAGATTCATACAGAAACAAATAAAGGTGGTAGTGGCTCATACCTTTAATCACAGTACTAGGGAATTACATGCTTTGATCCAGCACTAGAGGGGTATATAAGATGGGAGGAGATGGGCTCGGGGCTTAGTTTGCAGTTGCCCAGCCTTGGTAGAGGTAAGTCTTCTCTAGCGGCTTGGCTGTTTTGCCTTTCTAATCTTCAGCTGGAACCCCCAATATCTGTCCCTGGGTTTTTATTATTCATGCTACAGAAACTAAATGGCCCTGTTCTCTCACACATTAGATGTGTAGAAGAAGGAGAGAGAGCCATTGGAGTATTTGAAAAATGTAGTCTTTATTTTTATTTTTATTAGGTATATTTATTTCTTTATATGTAAGTGCACCAGACATTGGATCACATGGAACCGAAGTTACAGATGATAGTGAAGCACCATGTGAGTGGTGCGAACTGATTCAGGATCCTCTGCAACAGCAGTAAGTGTTCTTAACCTCTGAGTCATCTCTCTAGCACCATTGAAACTTTTACATGAGAAAGCCACACAACCTGGCTCACAGCAAGATGGCTGACAAGATAGCTGGTCATAGTGTGAGAAACTAGATGGCAAAGGAAGAGATAGTTAGTACTGATGTGCACAGCTCTGGAGTTAGGGGTGCTGGGCACTGATGGGGTAATACATGAGGGAGAAAGAGAAGGGTAGAGTCTCCTGGAACTGTTTGGGAAGGATCAGGAGGTGTGGACTAGTTAAAGGAGGTGTGTCACTGGGGCCAGGCATGGAGGTTTTTAAAACTCTCACTATTCCCAGTGTCTCTGCCCATGGATCAAGATGTGAGCTCTCAGCTGTTCCTGCCACCACACCTTTCCTCTGCCACCATGGGTTCAAACTCTGTGGAAGCTTAAACCCAAATTGAACACTAACTTTTATTAATTGAATGGGTAACAGTGTTTTATCACAGTCATAGAAAAGTAATGAGAGTCAGGTGTGGTCACACAGGTCTTTAATCCCAGTACTCAGGATGCAAAGACAGGTGGGTCTCTGTGAGTTCAAGATCACAAGAGTTCTCTGTGATCATTTGGGAAGAAACACTAGGAGTCTGAGTGTAAGCACAGGCTGTGAAGACTCAGTCCTGAGTGAAGAGGCAAAGTTTCTATTTTCAGGTGAGATCTCTGAGCATCAGGCTCAGATATAAGAGTAAGTCAACACAGTAAGTTTCATGACATCCAGTGCTGTGGAAGGAAACTTTGCCAAAAAAAAAAAAAAACATGAGAAGAGGCCCTCAGGTCAGACTAATTTCATCCTCCCGTCACCCTTCTGTAGGCATAGGCTGCTTGTTTGTTCCCAGCTGCCCAGACCACATAATAATCACTCAGAAACTGTACTTTTTGCAGTACTGTTTGTTCAATTGCTTAAGCATATTTCTGGCTTACTCTTATATCCGAGCCTGATGCTCGGGATCTCACATGAAAATAGAAACTTTGCCTCTTCACTCAGGATCGTGTCTTCACAGCCTGTGCTTACACTCAGACTCCTAGTGTTTCTTCCCAGATGATCATCTGTGGCTCCAGGAGCTTGTGTTTTACACGGATCTTCATTCCATAGCCCTGAGATTGTCCGTGTAGACCTGGGTCATTGTCTCAGCACAGTAGACCCCTTCTCCATGGGAAGAGAACCCTGTGGAGCCAAATACAGCAGGGCACTGACCCTGTCTACACTCCACGTTTCCCTGTGTGCACACACTTCCATGGTACAGTTACATTAGTGAATAAACCACAGTCAGAGAGGAACTGGAACTAATAATTGTTGAAGAAGAGAAGGCAGCCTTTGTTTGTCCTGGCCGCCTGGCTAGCTTACACCCGAAATACACCCAAAATAATCACACAGAAACTATATTCATTTAATTACTGCTTGGCCCATTACCTCTATCCTCTTATTGGCTAACTCACACATCTTGATCTAACCCATTTCTGTTAATCTGTATAGTATCACGTGGCAGTGGCTTACCAGGAAAGATTCGGCACAGCTGTCTCTGGCAGCTCCATGGCAGCTCTTTCCCTGTCCTTCTTCCCAGCATTCAGTTCTGTCTACTCTGCCTACCTGAGTGCTGCCCTATCAAAAGTCCAAGGCAGTTTCTTTATTCAACCAATAAAAGCAACACATAGACAGAAGAACCTCCTACACCAAATAATGAGAGTAATGATGACCACGTGGTAGAAGTTACATTTAACCTGTGATCCTCTCATTCCCTGACACTCTATGAGCTGAGGAGATGTAAGAGATGAATGTTGCAGGTTCTGTTGGACACAAAATCTGATCACTATGTTGGCTTCTATTCCATAGGTTTGTGCAGTGTGGACACTGATGCTGCTAATGGGAAAGGTACCGTCTTAATTAGGCCTTCTGTTGCTGTGAAGAGACACCGTGACATGACAACACTTTCTGTTTGTTTGTTTGTTTGAGCCCCAGTTTTTGTGGGTGTATGTAACCTGGGCTGGTAGGGAACTGGCTCAGTAGACCAGGCTGGCCTGAAACTTAAAGATCTGCTTGCCTCTGCTTCCTGAATATTGGGATTAAAGTCGTGAGCCGCTACTGCCTGGCTCTATGGCAACTGTTATAAAGGAAAACATTTAATTGAGGGTGGGTTACACTTCTAGAGCTTTAATGCATTATCAACATGACGGGACATGGTGGTATGCAAACAGACGTGGTGCTAGAGAAGGGGCTGAGAGTTCTACATCTTGATCTGAAGGACACAGGAAGTGAGCTGTGTCCACACTGGGCATAACTTGAACATAGGAGACCTCAAAGCACAAGCCTCACAGTGACACACTTCCTCCAATAAGGCCACACCTCCTTATTGTGCTACAAGCTATGGGGGCCACTTTTTCAAACCACCACACGTACACTGGGGATTTGAGGTTTCATCTCTGTTCAATAGTGTGGAGAAAATTCAAATTTATACATTTTTTTTGTTTCTTTGCAGGTTGACTTAATGTCTTCAAATCACAGCCAAACACAACTGGAGCAGAAAGTGAAAGCAGAGGTGAGCAGGGCCTCCTTCCTTCAGGGAGAGTCACATATAACACAGTGTGTCCAAAGTGCTTAATCAGAGCTGTAAAAACTCCAGTCACCTCCCGATGCAGGTGTCCACGGCAGCCTGATGCACTTACTAGGACCCCCACAACACCAGTTTCTATGAACATTCATTTTAAGTGCTGTGTGTATTTTACCTGTTAGCTTCATGCTCTTAGGTTTGACCCTCACTAACCTGAGCAGCAGTTGTCCTTAGGCGGCTCAGAGACACCAAGACACACTGTTGGACTCTAGCGTCCAAACACCGAGAAGGAGTCTCCCCCAGAGACCATCTCACACACCACAGCCGATGCAAAAGCATGAGGATTTTTATTAATTCTGTCATGACAGGGTCCCCCAGCATTCGGGAAGCCGAGGGACCTCGAATAGCTGGTACAGTCAACTTTTAAAGGGGCCACAGAAGCAAGTGGGGTTGTTCTTTGACTATTCTGATTGGCTTATTTGAAAGGACTATTACCAATAATTGACTAGAGAGCTGTTGCCAGATCAGATGAGGTAAGAGGTCATTTTGACCCCGTTTCCCAGGGGACCAAACCAAAGCATACGTATATGGGTAATTGTTCAGGAACTGAGTACGTGCGAGTGTAGCTATTAGGTCCTTGGTTCCCAGGGGAGGAGGGGAAGCACTATGGCACAGAGGCTGAGAAGATTCAGAATTGTCAAAAATGGCTTCAGGATTGTCTTAAAGTCTTACAATACAGCGCTCCATCCCGCAGCACAGGGCTCAGACAAAATCTTAGTCCCCAGGAGGGTGAGGTCTGGGTGGGGGAGCACAGGGCTGGGGATTCCCCTGTCTCTAGTTTCACTTTTGCAGCTCCTAACCTGGGTCAGGTCTTTCTGCCCGGACACTGATGACAACTTGGCGGTTCTCACTCCCATTGGGTGACGAGATCCCGGGGAACCAACCAGCGTCTCCGCGGTCACCGGTTATAAAGTCAAAGCAGACTGAGGAACTCAGAAACGCCTCACGTCTAGATGGAGTCGATGGCGCCTCACACGCTGCTCCTGCAGCTGGTGGTCACCCTGGCCCTGACCGAGACCCGCCCGGGTGAGTGCGAGGTCTGGAGGGAAATGGGCTCTGCGGGGAGGGCGGGGGCGGCACCGGGGAAGCCGCGTCCCCGCGTAGCCCAGCCCGACCCTCCCGCCCCTTCTCCTCCCGCGTCCCGAGCCCCGCGCCCTGCTCCCCTCCCGGCCCGCGCTCCTGCTCGGGGTCCCGGGAGCAGGATCGGGGTCTCACCGAGCGCCGCCCCCAGGCTCGCACTCGCTGCGGTATTTCTTCACCATCGTGTCCCGGCCCGACCTCGGGGAGCCCCGGTTCATCTTTGTCGGCTACGTGGACGACACGCAGTTCGTGCGCTACGACAGCGACGCGAAGACTCCGAGGATGGAGCCGCGGGCGCCGTGGGTGGAGGAGGAGGGGCCGGAGTATTGGGAGAGGGAGACACAGATCGCCAAGGACACCGAGCAGATTTACCGAGTGAACCTGAGGACCCTGCTGGGCTACTACAACCAGAGCGAGGGCGGTGAGTGCCCGCGGTCGGAGGTCACGACCCCTCCACGTCCCTACGAACGGGTCACGGGTCGGAGTCGCCCCGGGTCCCAGGTCCGAGGTTCGGTAGGAGAGCGGGTGACCGGGGCGGGGAGGGTGGGCGGGGCTGACCGCGAGGTCCCCGCAGGCTCTCACACCATCCAAGTGATGTACGGCTGTGAGGTGGGGTCGGATGGGGGCCTCAACCGCGTATATTATCAGCAAGCCTACGACGGCCTCGATTACATCGCCCTGAACGAGGACCTGAAGACGTGGATGGCGGCAGACAGGGCGGCGCAGATCACCCTGCGCAAGTGGGAGCAGGCTGGGGAGGCAGAGATACACAAGGCCTACCTGGAGGGCCCATGCGTGCAGTACCTGCACAGATACCTGGAGAACGGAAAGGACGCGCTGCTGCGCACAGGTACGGGGCTGCGGGCAACTCCTCCCTCTGCCCTCGGGCTGGACTCAGTCCTGAGGAAGAGGAAACCCTCACTGGGGTCATGCCCCTGTCTCTGTGGACAGACAGGGTCCCTGGGTCTCCTGATCCAGCATGGCAGGGACTGCACTGACCTCCCAGGGCTCAGCCTTCTCCCTGGACAGTTCCACATCTGTCTCAGGAGGGAGGAGAGAGGATCCCGACATCACCAACAGTGGCTCCTTCAGTCTGCAGCCCCTGTCAGCCATGGCCTCTCCCAGGCCGGGTTCTCTGCCCACACCCAGTGTGTGTTGACACTGAGTCCTGTCATCTGAGTGTGTCAGCCCTTACACACCAGGACCGGAGTCTCCTTCACCTGATGTGAGACATGGACTCCCCTACCCTAGGCTGCTTTCCCAGTTTCTAGAATTTTCCAAAGAATACATTCTCCCAGATTCCTCTGTGTTAGGTTTGCATTCTTCCCACACCCCAATTCTATCTCTTCCTACTATGGTCACGTGAGAACTTAGGGGAGCCCAGGACAAATTGTGGAGGGTTTTTTCTCTTCTGTTTTTCTTCCATTCTTTTGTATGTTTGGTTTTATTTTCAAAGTCGTCATTTTCCTTTTAGTGAGTTTTTCTTCCTCACTGGGAAGGTATTCCTTCTCTCCCTCCCCTGTGTTATCATGTGTATCAGTCTCCACAGGTGCCATGGGGACTGATACTCTGGATAATTAGACAAATTAAGGCAGTGAGGTTTTTTTTGTTTGTTTTGTTGTTGTTGTTTTCTTGAGACACGGTTTCTCCATATATTTGAAGCAAGTCAGTGTTTTCTTTAAACGAGAAAGATTCCTGGGAGCTTAGACTATTTTCTGCCAGAATTAGACATCCAGAGCCCTCTACTTGGTCAGACAGTTAATGCTGGTCAGCAGGATGGCCACAGTGGTTGTGCCTCAATGGTGGCAGCAGAAGTTGGTGGCACCTCTGTACCCCCTTCTTGTTAGTCTCTTCTTTTATGTGAATTTAATCACATACATAAATTAATTATTTTCCATTCCTTCATCCTTTTCCTACATAACTTTAGCTATAGAACACCACATAAGGAGACCGTGTTGATCTGCTGGCTCATGTGGATTCCTTCTTAGCTTCTGGGTCCCCAGGAAACTGCAATTCTGTGATGAAGGGACCAACTCTACCTGCAGGTCACTAGTGTGATGACAGAAATGTTTAAACAGACACATAGTTCAGTGTCATCATTGATTTAACTTTGCCTTTGCAGATTTCAGTTTATCTTGTTCATTGTGAGATTTCTTGAATCTTCCACACAGATCCCCCAAAGGCACATGTGACCCATCATCCTGGACCTAAAGGTGATGTCACCCTGAGGTGCTGGGCCCTGGGCTTCTATCCTGCCTTTATCGACCTGACCTGGCAGAAGGAGGAGGAGGAACAGGCACAGGACATGGAGCTGGTGGAGACCAGACCTTCTGGGGATGGAACCTTCCAGAAGTGGGCATCTCTGGTGGTGCCTTCTGGGGAGGAGCACAAATACACATGCCATGTGCACCATGAGGGGCTGCCTGAGCCCCTGACCCTGAGATGGGGTAAGGAGGGAGTGGGTGCAGAGCTGGGGTCAGGGAAAGCTGAGGCCTTCTGTGGACCCTGAGCAGGGTCAGGGCTGAGAGCTGGAACCATGACCCTCACCTTCCCTTCCTGTCTTTCCCTTCCCAGAGCCTCCTCAGTCCACAGTCCCCATCATGGCAGTCATTGCTGGTCTGGTTCTCCTTGGAGCTGTGATCATTGGAGCTGTGGTGGCTGTTGTGAGGAAGAGGAGGAGAAGCACAGGTAGGAAAGGGCAGGGTCTGTGTTCTCTCTCAGCCCCTTTTAGACGTGTGCTCTGCCTCATTAATGGGAAACACATCCACACTCCTGGTTGCTCCCGTCTCTAACCTGGGTCTGCTGTCAGTTCTAGAAACTTCCTAGAGTCAGGGTCTTCCCTGGTCTCTCACAGCGTTTCTTCTCACAGGTGGGAAAGGAGGAAACTATGCTCCAGCTCCAGGTAAGTGTGGGAGGCGGGATTGTCCCTGAGGCCTGTGGGGTGAAGCTGGCGTATTTGGGGAGCACTGGTAATACATAATAGCTCCTCCAGCAGATCTTCTAGGGTACAAATTTTTACCTTTCCATGAATACATATATTTTTTTAATTTTTTTTTATTGCGAAAAGAAGAAAAAAAAACATAAACAAAAAACAAGTTTCCACCTCCTCCCAGCCTCCCATTTCCCTTCCCCTCCTCCCACCCTTCTCCCCCTCCTCCCACCCTTCTCCCCCTCCCCCCACTCCTCTCCCCCTCCCTCTCCAGTCCACAGAGCAGTCCGGGTTCCCTGCCCTGTGTTAAGTCCTAGGTCCTCTCCGTCCATATCTAGGAAGGTGAACATCCAAACTGGCTAGGCTCCCACAAAGCCAGCACATTAAGTAGGATCAAAACCCCCTGCCATTGTCCTTGGTGTCTCATCAGCCCTCATTGTTCGCCATGTTCAGAGAGTCCGGTTTTATCCCATGCTTTTTCGGTCACAGTCCAGCTGGCCTTGATGAGCTCCCCGTAGATCAGCTCCTCTGTCTCAGTGGGTGGATGCACGCCTCGTGGTCCCGAATTCTTTGCTCATGTTCTCCCTCCTTCTGCTCCTCCTTGGGACCTTGGGAGCTCAGTCCAGTGCTCCTGTGTGGGTCACTGTCTTGATCTCTATCCATCACCAGATGAAGATTCTATGATGATATGCAAGATATTCGTCAGTATTGCTCTAGGATAGGGTCATTTCAGGTTCCCAATCCTCAGCTGCCCAAGGAACTAACTGGGAACCTCATCTTGGGCACTAGGGAGCCCCTCTAGGGTCAAGTCTCTTGCCCACCCTAAAGTGGCTCCCTTAACTAAGAATTGTGGTTCCGTGCTCCCCTATCCACCTTTCCTTTATCCCAATTCTCCCGTTTCCCAGGTACCCCCTCCTTCCCTTCTACCTTTTCTCTCCCCATCTCCCCTTACCCCCATCCCCCCCCCCCCAAGATCCCATTTTCTCCCCGGAAATTTGGTCTACTTCCCTTAGCGAAGAGGACAACTATATGTTTTTCCTTCGGTTCACCTTCTTCCTTAGCTTCTTTAGGTTCACCTATTGTAGACTCCTTGGTCCTTATTTATGGCTAGAAACCAATTATGAGTGAGTACATCCCATATTCATCTTTTTGGGTCTGGGACACCTCACTCAGGATAGTGTTTTCTTTTTTTTTTTTTTTTTTTTTTTTTTTTGGTTTTTCAAGACAGGGTTTCTCTGTGGCTTTGGAGCCTGTCCTGGAACTAGCTCTTGTAGACCAGGCTGGTCTCGAACTCACAGAGATCCGCCTGTCTCTGCCTCCCGAGTGCTGGGATTAAAGGCGTGCGCCACCACTGCCCGGCCAGGATAGTGTTTTCTATTTCCATCCATTTGCATGCAAAATTCGAGAAGTCATTGTTTTTTACCGCAGCGTAGTACTCTAGCGTGTATATATTCCATACTTTCTTCATCCATTCTTCCATTGAAGGGCATCTAGGTTGTTTCCAGGTTCTGGCTATTACAAATAATACTGCTATGAACATAGTTGAACAAATGCTTTTGTCATTTGATAGAGCATCTCTTGGGTATATTCCCAAGAGTGGTATTGCTGGGTCCAGGGGTAAGTTGATCCCGAATTTCCTGAGAAACCGAAACACTGACTTCCACAGTGGTTGCACAAGATTGCATTCCCACCAGCAATGGATGAGGGTACCCGTTCTTCCACAGCCTCTCCAGCAAAGGTTATCCTTGGTGTTTTTGAGTTTAGCCATTCTGACAGGTGTAAGATGATATCTCAAAGTTGTTTTGATTTGCATTTCCCTGATTGCTAAGGAAGTTGAGCACGACCTTAAGTGTCTTTTGGCCATTTGAACTTCTTCTGTTGAGAATTCTCTGTTCAGTTCAGTGCCCCATTTTTTAATTGGGTTAATTAGCATTTTAAAGTCTAGTTTCTTGAGTTCTCTATATATTTTGGAGATCAGACCTTTGTCTGTTGCGGGGTTGGTGAAGATCTTCTCCCAGTCAGTAGGTTGCCTTTGTGTCTTAGTGACAGTGTCCTTTGCTTTACAGAAGCTTCTCAGTTTAAGTAGGTCCCATTTATTCAATGTTGCCCTTAATGTCTGTGCTTCTGGGGTTATACATAGGAAGCGATCTCCTGTGCCCATCTGTTGTAGGGTATTTCCCACTTTCTCTTCTATCAGGTTCAGTGTGTTCGGACTGATATTGAGGTCTTTAATCCATTTGGACTTGAGTTTTGTGCACGGTGAGAGATATGGGTCTATTTTCATTCTTCTACAGGTTGACATCCAGTTGTGCCAGCACCATTTGTTGAAGATGCTTTCTTTCTTCCATTGCATACTTTTAGCTCCTTTATCGAAAATGAGGTGTTCATAGGTTTGTGGGATAAAATCCGGGTCTTCTATACGATTCCATTGGTCGACTTCTCTGTTTTTATGCCAGTACCACACTGTTTTCATTACTGTAGCTCTGTAATAGAGTTTGAAGTCAGGGATGGTAATGCCTCCAGAAGATCCTTTATTGTATAGGATTGTTTAGGCTATCCTGGGTTTTTTGTTTTTCCATATAAAGTTGATTATTGTCTTCTCCAGATCTGTGAAGAATTTTGATGGGATCTTGATGGGGATTGCATTGAATCTATAAATTGCCTTTGGTAGAATTGCCATTTTTACTATGTTGATCCTCCCAATCCAAGAGCAAGGGAGGTCCATCCATTTTTTGGTATCCTCTTCAATTTCTTTCTTCAATGCCTTAAAGTTCTTGTCAAATAGATCTTTCACTTCCTTGGTTAGATTTACCCCCAGATATTTTATGCTGTTTGTGGCTATCGTGAATGGTGAAGCTTCTCTGATTTCCCTCTCTGCTTCCCTATCCTTTGTGTATAAGAGGGCAACTGATTTTTTGGAGTTGATCTTGTATCCTGCCACATTACTAAAGCTGTTTATCAGCTGTATAAGTTCTTTGGTGGAGTTTTGGGGGTCGCTTATGTACACTATCATATCATCTGCAAATAACGAAAGTTTAACTTCTTCCTTTCCAATTCGAATCCCCTTGATCCCATTATGTTGTCTTATTGCTATTGCTAGAACTTCAAGCACTATATTGAAAAGGTATGGTGAGAGTGGACAGCCTTGCCGTGTTCCTGAGTTAAGCGGGATGGCTTTGAGTTTCTCTCCGTTTAATTTGATGTTAGCTGTCGGCTTGCTGTATATAGCTTTTATTATATTTAGGTATGACCCTTGTATCCCTAATCTCTCCAAGACTTTTATCATAAAGGGGTGTTGAATTTTGTCAAATGCTTTTTCAGCATCTAATGAAATGATCATATGGTTTTTTTCTTTCAGTTTATTTATATGCTGGATTACATTGATAGATTTTCGTATGTTGAACCAGCCCTGCATCTGAGGAATGAAGCCTACTTGATCATAATGGATAATTTTTCGGATGTGTTCTTGGATTCGATTTGCCAGTATTTTGTTGAGGATTTTTGCGTCGATATTCATGAGTGAGATTGGCCTGTAGTTCTCTTTCCTGGTTGAGTCTTTGAGTGGTTTTGGTATCAGAGTAATTGTGGCTTCATAAAAGGAATTTGGTAATGACCCTTCTGATTCTATATTGTGGAATACATTAAGGAGTATAGGTATTAGGTCTTCTTGGAAGTTCTGGTAGAATTCTGCATTGAAACCATCTGGTCCTGGGCTTTTTTTGGTAGGGAGGTTTTTGATAACAGCTTCTAATTCTTCGCGACTTACAGGTCTGTTTAGATTGTTCACCTGGTCCTGGTTTAGTTTTGGTAAATGGTATTTATCTAAAAAAGCGTCCATTTCTTTTACATTTTCCAGTTTTGTGGCATATAGGCTTTTGTAGTAAGATCTAATGACTCTCTGAATTTCCTCTGTGTCTGTGGTTATGTCCCCCTTTTCATTTCTGATCTTATTAATTTGCGTGTTCTCTCTCTTTCGTTTGATTAGTTTGGATAGGGGTTTATCTATCTTGTTGATTTTCTCCAGGAACCAGCTTTTTGTTTCATTGATTCTTTGGATTGTTTTCTGTGTTTCTATTTTGTTGATTTCAGCCCTCAATTTGATTATTTCCAGTCTTCTACTCCTCCTAGGTGAGTCTGCTTCTTTTTTTTCTAGAGCTTTCAAGTGGGCTGTTAAGTCTCCAATATGTGCTTTCTCTGTTTTCTTTAGGTGGGCACTTAGTGCTATGAACTTTCCTCTCAGGACTGCTTTCATAGTGTCCCATAAGTTCGAGTATGTTGTTTCTTTATTTTCATTGAATTCAAGGAAGACTTTAATTTCTTTCTTTATTTCTTCCTTAATCCAGGTATGGTTCAGTAGATGACTGTTCAGTTTCCATGAGTTTGTAGGCTTTCTGGGGGTAGCATTGTTGTTGAATTCTAACTTTAATCCATGGTGATCTGATAAGACACAGGTGGTTACTAATATTTTTTTGTAACTGTGTAAGTTCGCTTTGTTACCAAGTATGTGGCCAATTTTCGAGAAGGTTCCATGAGCTGCAGAGAAGAAGGTATATTCTTTCCTCTTTGGGTGGAATAATCTATAGATGTCTGTTAAGTCCATTTGCTTCATTACCTCCATTAATTCTCTAATTTCTCTGTTAGGTTTCTGTCTGATTGACCTGTCCATTGGTGAGAGAGGAGTGTTGAAGTCTCCTACTATTAGTGTGTGCGGTTTGATGGCTGCCTTGAGTTTTAGTAATGTTTCTTTTACGTACGTGGGTGCTTTTATATTAGGGGCATAGATATTCAGGATTGAGACTTCTTCCTGATGAATTGTTCCTGTTATGAGTATAAAATGTCCCTCTCCATCTCTTCTGATTGATTTAAGTTTGAAGTCAACTTTGTTAGAAATTAGTATGGCCACACCTGCTTGTTTCTTAGGTCCATTTGCTTGATAAGCCTTTTCCCAGCCCTTTACTCTGAGTAGGTGCCTGTCTTTGTGGTTGAGGTGTGTTTCTTGTAGACAGCAGAATGTTGGATCCTGTTTTCTTATCCAATCTCTTAGCCTGTGCCTTTTTATAGGTGAGTTGAGCCCATTGATATTAAGTGATATTAATGACCAGTGGTTGTTAACTCCGGTCACTTTTTAAGTAGTAGGGTTTGTGTGTTTTCCTTCTTTGATTTGCGCTGGTGAAGAGTCTCTAGATGTCTGAGTTATTGTGGTCATTGTTGGACTCCTTGGTTAGTGATTTTCCTTCTATTATTTTCTGTAAGGCTGGATTTGTGGCTACGTATTGTTTAAATTTGTTTTTATCCTGGAAAATTTTGTTTTCTCCATTTATAGTGAATGAAAGTTTGGCTGGATATAGTAGTCTGGACTTGCATCCGTGGTCTCTTAGTTTTTGGAGAACATCTATCCAGGACCTTCTGGCTTTCATGGTTTCCATAGAGAAGTCAGGTGTAAGTCTGATAGGTTTACCTTTATAAGTAACTTGGCCTTTTTCCTTTGCGGCTCTTAATATTCTTTCTTTATTCTGTATATTTTGTGTTTTGATTATTATATGGCGAGGGGATGTTTTCTTTTGATCCAGCCTATTTGGTGTTCTGTATGCTTCTTGAACCTTCATAGGTACATCTGTCTTCAGGTTGGGAAAGTTTTCTTCTATAATTTTATTAAGTATATTTTCTGTACCGTTGAGCTGCACTTCTTCTCCTTCTTCTACTCCAATTATTCTTAGGTTTGGTCTTTTTATTGTGTCCCATATTTCCTGAATGTTTTGTGATGAGAGTTTGTTGGACTTGCTGTTTTCTTTGATCAGAGTGTTTATTTTCTCTATGTTATCCTCAGAATCTGAGATTCTTTCTTCTATCTCTTGTATTTTGCTGGTTATACTTGATTCTGTAGTCTCTATTCGTTTACCTAGATTTTCCATGTCCAGTCGGCCCTCTGTTTGTGTTTTCTTCTTTGCCTCCATTTCAGTTTTCAAGTCATGAACTGTTTCCTTTATCTGCTTGATTGTTTTTCCTTGGTTTCCTAGGGTATCATTCACTGATTTACTCAATTCCTCGAACTTTCTATTATACTTCTCATCCATTTCTATAAGGGCGTTTTTTATATGCTGTTTAAGGGTGTCAATCACTTTCATGAAGTCAGTTTTTTCTACTTCTTCTTGATTAAGGTGTTCATGTCCTCCTGTTGTGGGGTCACTGGCTTCTGGTGGTTTCGTGTTGTTTTTCAGATTGTTGGGAGAATTCCTGCATTGGCGTCTGCCCATCTCTTCCTCCCAATACTCCCCTTTGGATCTTCTTTTATAGGATCAGGTCTTCTTGCCCACTGATGTACCTTCCCAGTGATGTCACTCCCCAGAGATGTTTCTCCACAATGATGTTTCACTCGGTGCCCAGAACGAAACTCCACGCTGCTTGGTTGGCTCGCAAACAAAGGGCCCACCCTGCTCGCTGCGGGCAGGCTATGGGAACAAAGGAGCTACTGGCCACCCCTATGTCCTCCCGGTTCAGATTCGGTCCCAGCGCCCTAGCAGGCTGGGCAGGGAGGCGCTATGCCCCAAAGGAGGGAGGGAGACAGGGGGTGTGGGGATCTGGATGTAAGCTGAGTGGGATAGGAAGAGAGAGGGGGTTTGGGCAGTATAGCCCCTGTAGGATGGCCAGGAAGTGTGGGCGGGCTGAGGTATGATCCCAGCTGCCGCAGCACTCACTCACCACAGTGATGTTTCACTCGGTGCCCAGATCGAAACTCTGCGCTGCTTGGTTAGCTCGCGAACAAAGGGCCCACCCCGCTCGCTGCGGGCAGGCTATGGGAACAAAGGAGCTACCGGCCACCCCTATGTCCTCCCAGTTCAGATTCGGTCCCAGCGCCCTAGCAGGCTGGGCAGGGAGGCCGAATACATATATTTTTACCCCAGGCAGGGACAGTTCCCAGAGCTCCGATGTGTCTCTCCCAGACTGTAAAGGTGACCCTCTGGGACCTGACTTGGGGAGGGGTAGAGTGGACATGATTGGGTTTCAGGGACTCCCAGAATCACTTTTGAGTGAGTGGTGGGTTGTTGGGATGTTGTCTTCACAGTGATTGTTCATGACTCTTGTTCTGTAGCGTGAAGACAGCCACCTGGTATGGATGGAGTGACAGACGACATGTTCAAGTGTCTCCTGTGACATCCAGAGCCTGTTGCAGGAACATATCTTTGTCCTGGAATAACTCTGCGACCAGGCTGTCCTTGAACTCTCAGAGAGAGAGAGAGAGAGAGAGAGAGAGAGAGAGAGAGAGAGAGAGAACCATCAGTCTCTGCCTCCAAGACACTGGGATAAAAGGTGTGTCCTGCCACACCTTGAAGTCACAGATGTCAATCTACCTCTGCCTCCCAAGTGTTGGGATTAAAGATGTGTACCACCACACCCAACTACTCCACTTCTTTTTTACTTTTAAGAACTTTAACCTTTTGTCTGCATAAGTTTTTAACACACTATAAACCTTGAATCTCTCTTTACTGTTTATTTCTCTTTTTCTAACTACATGAGTATAAGGAGAGAATTAAAGCCGTGTCTTTGGTGGCTAGATCCAGCCCATCCTTAGCTTTCATGGCGGAGGTACCAGCTGTAGCCATTTTTATTGCCACAACTCTATGGCGTTTCAAGGTCCCTGCCAGCAAGCAAGCTGCAACATTCTGCTCACAGGCCACACTCAATTGGACTGCCTGCCTGAAAGAGTCAGAGTTTGCCCAGGCAGGACGGCCCAGTAAGCCAGCTTTTTAAAATGGTTCAGCTTTTTTCCTGCTATGGCTAAAAACCGAAAAGCATGCATTCAGCTTTTCATCAACACCGTTTAAGTGTTCTGTGCAGAACGTCTTAAAAGATCTGCAGAGTTTTACAGCTAAAGCTGAGTCAGTGTTGGGACCAATTAAGTCCTGGCCTTAGGCTGGATGTTGGGATTAATTGAGTCCTGGCTTTCAGCTGCTCTTCCCTGCTAGAACCTTCTAATTTAAGTTACTTGAAACTGTGCCTAGTTAGAGGATCAGAGGATCACCTGTTGGCCATTGACTGCAGGGTATTTAAGTCTACATGGTGTTAATAAGGGGAGTTTTGGTATCAGTGTTAAAAGGTCTGCGTGCCAGTCTGTCTCTGTGTCTATATTCTCAAGCTCCAGCCCCTTTCCCAAAGCTTGCAAAACTGGGTTCTAGTACACAGAGCACAGACACGGGGGCACGGTGCGCAGCAAGTCAGGAAGCCTCTCAGATGAAAGTGCTTGCTTGCTTCTAGCAAGTAGAGCAGACCCGAGAAATTGCTGCTACCAAGAAAACATGCTTTATTCTATTCTTTCCCAAGCATTCTCAGGCTTTCTGGGGATTCAGTTATCCATTTCTGGGCACCATTGTGTAGTGATGAGGCGAGCAGGCCTGCTTTTTGTCCCACCCAGCTCCTGGCCACTGGCTAGCTTTACCCAAAATAATTACATAGAAACCGTATTCATTTAAACACTGCCTGGCCCATTAGCTCTAGCCTTTTACTGGCTAACTCTCACATCTTGACTAACCCATTTCCATTAATGTGTATAGCACCATGAGGTGGTGGCTTACCGGGAAGATTCTAACCTATGTCCATCTTGGGCTGGAGCTTCATGGCATCTGCATGACTCTGCTTTCTTTCTCCCAGCATTCTGTTAAGTCTACTCACCTACCTAAGCTGCTGTCCTATCAAAAGGCCAAAGCAGTTTCCTTATTAACCAATGAAAGTTACACATAGACAGAAGACCCTCCTACATCAAGAGCACCCCAGTTCACTCTCAGAAATAGTGTCTGATGTTCCCTGTGATCCCATGGGCTCAATGTGAAGAACTGGGGAGCCCAGCCCACCCTGCACACCTGACCCTGTCCCTGTACTGCCCTTTTCCCTTCCACAGCCAACCTTCCTGTTCCTGCAGACAGGAGGGGACATCTCCATCCTGTCTCCTCCATGCTGTTCTGAGCTGCAACCCTGACTTCCCCACTGAAAATAAGAATCTGAATGTGAACTTGATTGTTAATGTCCTTGATCTCAAAGGTTGATTGATGGTAAAATAAATGATTGAGATATGTAGAGTTTGTGGAGAAAATAAATAGCAGCATGGAGAACCTCCCAGAATCTGTGTTCATTATGCTGTGTGCATCTGGTGGGACAGGATGAGGCTGGGGAGCTGAGTGAGAACAGGGCTGTGCCCAGGTGGAGCTCAGTGCGTTGTTGTCATTGACAAGGTCACTTGTCAGCTCTGTCCCCTCCTGGTTCTGTTCTCTTCATCACTTAGAACCAAATGCTGACATCTGTGATCACAGGGACACTGGGATGGCCAGAGCCTTGTCCTGTCCCCAGGATTATGAGTCACCAGGGCTGCTGTGAGAGTCATGGCTGCTGTCCTGGCTGTGATCTTTCCCCTGTCTTTTTTATTGATTTCTTGTCTTTTTACTTAGTATGCAGGACTAGGCCTGTTCCTGTTCCTATGAGTGGTGCCTGCCTCATTACCCTGTGGGGTCCCTGAGTGACAGCATTAAGAGGTGTTTTCCATCCTTGTCTCCTCAAGGCCCAACTAGGCCCCTGCACTCGGGAGACTGTGGGATGAGAACATGAGCTTCAGTCTCCTGAGCTCCTGCCACCCCTTCAGGCCCCTCTCTGGAGGTTCTCTCCTTTCCCATCTAATAGAATCTAACCCGGGTTGTAGGATGGGCAGAGAGGAGGGATCCACAGGGTCTCATCTCACATCTGTCCTGTGTTATGCCCAAGGTCCCATCTCCCTCTCTGCCTCTGGGAATCTTGGTGCTGCCTCCAGTGGAGACTCAAGGATTTACAGGCTGAGTCTACTTTAGATTTATGTTTATTTAAAAAAAAAATTAGGATCCAACTTTAATCCCAGCACTTGGGAAGCAGAGGCAGGCGGATCTCTGTGAGTTCGAGGCCAGCTTGGTCTACAAGAGCTAGTTCCAGTACAGGTTCCAAAGCTACAGAGAAACCCTATCTTGAAAAAAACAAATATATATATTCCAGCAAAAACACTCAAGCTCATACCACCCCTTTTGATGTCAGTGTGGCAATTTCTCATAAAATTGGGAAACAACCTTCCTCAAGGCCCAGTAATACCACTTTTGGGTATATATCCAAAGGATGCTCAATCGTGCCACAAGGACATGTGCTCAACTATGTTCATAGCAGCTTTGTTTTTCATAGCCAAAACCTGGAAACAAACTAAATGTCCCTCGACCAAAGAATGGATAAGGAAAATGTGGTACATTTACACAATGGAGTATACTACACAGCAGAAAAAAATAACAACAGCTAGAATTTTGCAGGCAAATGGATGGAGCTAGAAAACATTATTTTGAGTGAGGTAACCTAGACACAGAAAGACAGTTATCACATGTACTCACTCATAGGTGGTTTTTAAACATAAAGCAAGGAAAGTCAGCCTATAAACCACAATCCCAGAGAACTTAGACAACAATGCAGACACTAAGAGAGACTCACATAGATACAATCTACATGGGAAGTAGAAAATATAAAAAGACAAGATCTCCTGAGTAAATTGGGAGCATGGGGACCTTGTGGAAAGGTTGAAGAGGGGAGGGGAGGGACAGGGAGGGGAACATAGAAAAATGTAGAGCTCAATAAATATCAATAAAAATTAAAAAAAAAAACATGGTCCAGGGACTGGAGTGATGACTCAGCGGTTGAGAGCACTTGCTGCCCTTGCAGAGGACCCAGGTTCAGATCCCAGCACCCACCTGATGGCTCATAACCATCCTTTACTCCTGTTCCATGACATCCAATGCCCCTGTCGACACCATGCAGATTCATGGTGTGAACACTACTAGTAAGAAAACACTTATAGCCGGGCGGTGGTGGCACATGCCTTTAATCCCAGCACTCAGGAGGCAGAGGCAAGTGAATCTCTGTGAATTTAAGGCCAGCCTGGTCTACAGAGTGAGTTTCAGGACAGGTTCCAAGCTACAGAGAAACCTTGTCTCTGAAAAAAAAAAGATAGAAAACAGTTATAGATGTAAAATTCATAAATTAAAATAAAATATTGTGGGGAATGCCAGAGATGGAAATTCCTTCATTCCCTGCTCCAGGTTCCGGCCTCTGCAGATTTCTCTTCCAGCTTTGTGACGTCCAGTCAGGAGCTCCAGGAGCCTTAGCACAGATGTCTGATGACCAAGAAGGTGATAATCTCTGTCAAGATGCTGCCATTTTTGTCTTGTGAGGGATGATGGGTCCCAATGTTGACCACAGATAACATTCATACACAATAGGTATATGATGAATGACTCAAAGTAAATATCAAATATAAGATCACTCCGGGCAGTGGTGGTGCACGCCTTTACTCAGGAGGCAGAGGCTGGCAGATCTCTGTGAGTTCAAGGCCAGCCTGGTCTACAGAGTGAGTGGCAGGATGGGCTCCAAAGATACAGAGAAACCCTGTCTTTAAAAATAAAACAAAACAAAACAAAAAAGCTGGGCAGTCACGCCTTTAATTCCAACATTGTGGAGGCAAAGTCAGGCAGATCTCTGTGAGTTCAAGGCCAGCCTGGTCTATAGAGGGAATTCCAGAACAGACTTAAAGCTACACAGAAAAACCCTGACTCAAAAATAAAATACTATATTTAAGCAGAAAGCTCTTGGTAAAAGGTGTGTGCTAGGACTGAGCCGCACCACAACTAGAAACAGGTTTTTCCAGTAAATAACTCGGGGTTCACAATGTGACCAAATGTCCTGCACCAGGAGGAGGAGGAGGAGGCATCAGGACAAGGAACGGACTCAAACATCTCTCACTTCAGAAGCTGCAGAGGAGGAGCTGCCCCAGAGAGCACACGGTTCAGAGGAAGCCAGACAGGGGAGAAGGCCCCAGGCCAGTGAGGTCTGTGAGGGCTGAGCCCCTTAGAGGGCAGGAGGGCAGGTGTGGGAGGGACAAGGCCAGGCTGTGGTGGGGATAGACGTGCAGAGACAGTGTTGGGGAGATGGGGACTGTGAGAGCCGGCAGAGTCCAGCTCCCATGTTTGCTGTTAAAGGACACTGGGCAGGAACAGGCTGGATTTCACCTGTTCCTGTGATGGACCCTATGAAATATGGCGGCTGCTCAGCTTCCTGTTCCTCTGAGGTATGGGAAGGGGTGGAGTCCCTGCCTCAAGCTCCTTGGCCTGGACCTGCCCGCTGCCAGGATTTCCATCCTATTTGGGAGGCAGAGGCAGGAGGATGGCAAGGTCAAATCCTGTCCAGCCTACAGTAAATACAAGACAAGCCTGTGTAATTCAG